ACAGTCACACGGAGCCCCAGTCTAGAGTTACTTGGAGCACCAGTCTACAGTCACACGGAGCACCAGTCTACAGTCACACGGAGCCCCAGTCTAGAGTTTCTTGGAGCACCAGTCAACAGTCACACGGAGCACCAGTCTACAGTCACACGGAGCCCCAGTCTAGAGTTTCTTGGAGCACCAGTCTACAGTCACACGGAGCACCAGTCTACAGTGACATGGAGCACCAGTGTACAGTCACGCGGACCACCAGTCTACAGTCACACGGAGCACCAGTTTACTGTCACACGGAGCACCAGTCTAATGTCACACTGAGCACCAGTCACATGGAGCAACAGTCACCTGGAGCACCAGTCAAATGGAGCACCAGTCTACAGTCACACGGAGCACCAGTCTACAGTCACAAGAAGTATCAGGTTAGGTTAGATTACCTAGGTTAGAATTATTTACGGTGAGATTGGTCAGGCGAGGCTTGATTGGGATAGGTTAGGTTTGGTTAGAATGGAAAAGGTGGCTCTAGATTGAATAGGTTAGGTCAGATTAGCTTCGGTCTGGTTAGGATAAGATAGATCAGGTCGTTAGATTAGAATGAGATAGGATATGTATAGTTTATGAGGTTGGATTACGCAATTTTCCCATACGCAAATAACACGGTGATTAGCGAATCATCCATCCTTAGGATTACCTTAAACTCTAAAGAGTAATTTACCTTAAAGTAGAGTAGATTACCTTAGGATTACATAGAGTAAATCACACACTGGCGATCTCCTAATAAAGGTGATTTACATGTAAGTGTTTCTGGATGATGGAAAACCAGAGAGAGCAATAGGAACGTATGGGAAAGATATTACAGGAAGATCTGGACAGGTTGCAGGAGTGGAACAGAAATGACTTTTGAAGTTCAACTTTAGCATGAGCAAAGGTGAGGGGAAATAGTGATTAAGAGATAGGGGGCAGAGGATTTGAGGGGGTAGGATGGGCAGGGGAGAGGAGGAAGTCTATTGTCTTGAAAGGCAGAGTAGAATTAAGGAAGTAGTCTACTATCTTGGAAGATAGGGTAGATGATGTAATCTACTATCTGAAAGGCAGGGTTGAGTATGTAGTCTATTATCTGGAAGACAGGGTTGAGGACAAATGCACCTACAGACTTCGCTCATTATACAGAACTTCAAAATTTTGTTCCTTATAATCTTCCCATCGTAAGCGTTGATTTAAGTGCCAAATACGCAACATGAAGGATCAATTCACTAACACCCACGGTAGAATATTGATTACACTGGGATGAAATTGGTTGATATCGACCAACCATCTAGTGTGATCACACTTGGTTGGTATTGGTCCATAGGTGTATTGGATGTAACTTGTCATACATAATAATTATTCTGTTAGTGTGGTTCACCTAATGTGTGATCATTCAGCAATAAGAGCCAACGTGGATGTGTTCAATGTTGCCTTTCCTGTAGCTAAGCTCACTAGACCTGAGAAATCTGATATGAGGAAACATAACATTAGGGGCCTCGTAGCCTGGTGGATAGCGCGCAGGGCTCGTAATTCTGTGACGCGGGTTCGATTCCCGCACGAGGCAGAAACAAATGGGCAAAGTTTCTTTCACCCTGAATGCCCCTGTTACCTAGCAGTAAAATAGGTACCTGGGTGTTAGTCAGCTGTCACGGGCTGCTTCCTAGGGGTGGAGGCCTGGTCGAGGACCGGGCCGCGGGGACACTAAAAAAAACAAGCCGAAATCATCTCAAGATAACCTCAAGATAACAGATTTTTTCACTTATGTTTCCTCGTAACATTGAGAAATGAACAATAAAATAACTTCACAATTTCCTGAAAGTCTGTATTAAAACTTTTCATGTCGATCATCAAACTAAAATGTATGTGACTTACATAAAGTGAATCAAAGCAAATAAACAGAAATACCGGTCAGCGAGGTAGACAGAATATCTATATTGATTATGCTCATTGAATCAACTTTTATCACTAGCTAGACAAACAATAAAAAAAAATGATGAAAGTACCACACAACTGTTCAAATGTTGAAACTCTTGACATGGCTCGCTTGCTCCAGCGAGGGACAGAGAATGCCGAAACTTGGGCATAACAACTGTGAGGTCTTGTGAACGGATTAATCAGCACACTCCCCTGAGCAAAGCCTGGACAGGCATATGCAAAGTTATTGGTAAAGAAGTATACATCTCTCATCCAGACCAACAGCGCAAAGCCAATGAGTTCATTACAATATGGGCTGAAGTCTCTAGGTATAAAATGTCACCAGCAGCACTATGGGGAAATTGATTAAGTTTGGTTTGATTCAAGCCTATTTTGTGCCCTATAATTCTTTTTGCGCTACCACTGACAGGATAAGTATGGGGTACACAATAAACTACCCATTACATTATGAGTATGGGATGCACAATAAACTACCCATTACATTATGAGTATGGGATGCACAATAAACTACCCCTTACATTATGAGTATGGGATGCACAATAAACTACCCCTTACATTATGAGTATGGGGTGCACAATAAACTACCCCTTACATTATGAGTATGGGATGCACAATAAACTACCCCTTACATCATGAGTATGGGGTGCACAATAAACTACCCCTTACATCATGAGTATGGGGTGCACAATAAACTACCCCTTACATCATGAGTATGGGGTACACAATAAACTACCCATTACATCATGAGTATGGGGTGCACAATAAACTACCCCTTACATCATGAGTATGGGGTACACAATAAACTACCCCTTACATCATGAGTATGGGATGCACAATAAACTACCCCTTACATTATGAGTATGGGGTGCACAATAAACTACCCCTTACATCATGAGTATGGGATGCACAATAAACTACCCCTTACATCATGAGTATGGGATGCACAATAAACTACCCCTTACATTATGAGTATGGGATGCACAATAAACTACCCCTTACATTATGAGTATGGGATGCACAATAAACTACCCCTTACATCATGAGTATGGGATGCACAATAAACTACCCCTTACATTATGAGTATGGGATGCACAATAAACTACCCCTTACATCATGAGTATGGGATGCACAATAAACTACCCCTTACATTATGAGTATGGGATGCACAATAAACTACCCCTTACATTATGAGTATGGGATGCACAATAAACTACCCCTTACATCATGAGTATAGGATGCACAATAAACTACCTTGGAGGGAGGAGGAGAAGGTGGTCTATGGCAAGTAGGAAACTTTCAAATCATGCCACACCTGTCTTTCTAAGTCCACGTTCATCAACTTAAGCTTACCACTATTCAAAAGCTTTAGTTCCAGTAGCCCGCATTGTTTGTGGTTCTAATTATCCAGCTCTTTAACAAAACTACTAATTGATGCTGAATTGATGTTTGATGCTGTAAACGCAATAGAGGCTCATTAGGACCTTCAGTTGCCCTCAGAGAGATGGCAGTTAAAACCCAAAGAAAATGCTAAGAATAATCAGTTATTATGATTCCCGGTCGAAAGCACAGTTATTTAAACAGTTACTGTCTCAAGCTTATGACTGACAGCTGACCTCAGTCCCCTTTCATCACGCCCCCATATCCTATCCTAGATCTTTGTGCTAATATTCCTTGGAGGTGGTATGTAGTCGTGCTGGCTTAGCGCTGTATCCTCATACTTCTTTACTTCGACCTCATAATCTGATACCCTCTTAGCCCCTTGCCCTCATACCCCAGCTCATTTTCTTCCTATCCTAAAATGCGTGTCTTCAGACCCTAATTCCTTTTTTTTCGTATCCCAGAATCCTTGTCCTCATTTCCCAGTTCGTTGTCTCCTTCCCCCAGCTCCAAGTTCTCATATCCCAGCTCCTAGTTCTCATATCCCAGCTCCTTTATATCTCAGCTTTTTTATCTTTATATCCCAGTTAATTGTCAACATATCCACACTGATAGCAATAATATCCCTTCCTCGAGTTAAATAGTAGTTCTGGCTTAGTGGTTTCTGGCTTAGTGGTTTTACCTAATAATGACCTTAATATTCTCGTTATAATCACAAACACATCTTACCTTCCCCTGATCAATACAAACTTATCATACCGCTCTACTGAGACTTACCTTAACACGGGGAAGTTCCTCTTAGTCGCCTCATCTCAAAGAAACAGGTGCGCTGGAAAAAAAAATATATGTATATATATTAGAAATCATCTTTCACGAATCAAATCAAAATTAGTTCTAAGTTTCAACCAGAAATAAAACATGTAAGACATGAGGAATTTCTTTTTTATCCATTAAGGTCTCTAGCGAGGATACTTAATTAAAAAAAAAAAAAACGAGTCGATAGCCGAAATCGCCCTAAAAAAAAATTTCGAACGCTCTGGAGACGCCCCAGCACCTGATATTAAATGTCACGATGTAGGACATGTGGGAATAGATGGACGGGGGTTCGGGGAGCGTGTTCGTACGTTTTGGCAGTAATGATTTCCTGTCAAGAGTTCCATCAGCCACATAGCGAACCCCTCCCCCCCACCCCCCACCCTACCTCGGTCCATGGTCCCCCCCCCCCCCACTATGGCTGTGCGATAACACCCACTATTGTTTTCCCTTATCATCTTTATCTAAGATTGGGTCTCTAAAGTTTCCAATAAACTGCAATATACCCAAAATTCCTGCTTTGTTTTGCTGATGAAATAAATTGCATAACAAAAAAAATAATAATAATAATATGAAGGAACTCTTGTGCAGGCGAGGAGTCACAATAACGTAGCTTAAGCATGGTGACCAGACCACTCACTAGAAGGTGAAGAGACGACGTCTCGGTCCGTCCTGGACCATTCTCAAGTCGATTCTCTTTCTCAAGATCGACTTGAGAATGGTGCAGGACGAACCGAAACGTCGTCGTCCCTTCACCTTCTAGTGTGAAGGAACTCTTACCTGGTTCCGCACCACAATTCATAATGGTATTTTTGAAGAGCGCAAATATATAGGGCGACGGAAGTATTGTTAAAGTTATGAATGAGCGAAGGAAACCATATCGGGAGATGTCGTTTTCCACGACAGCTATCGCAACCCAGTCAAAACCTTCCTCTTGCGATATTACCTTCACTACAACTTCCTACTCTGATACAATCAAGACTACAACTTCTTCCTCAGATATAATCAAGACTACAACTTCCTCCCACGATACAATCAAGGCTACAACTTCCTCCTTTGATACAATCAAGGATACAACTTCCTCCCACGATACAATCAAGGCTACAACCCCCTCCCACGATACAATCAAGACTACAGCTTCCTCCTCAGATACAATGAAGACTGCAACTTCCTCCCACGATACAATGAAGACTGCAACTTCCTCCCACGATACAATCAAGGCTGCAACTTCCTCCCACGATACAATCAAGACTACAACTTCCTCCCACGATACAAACAAGACTACAACTTCCTCCCACGATACAAACAAGACTACAACTTCCTCCCACGATACAATCAAGACTACAACTTCCTCCCACGATACAATCAAGACTGCAACTTCCTCCCACGATACAAACAAGACTACAACTTTTTCCCACGATAAAATGGAACAACTTTCCCAATAATTTCTTGACTAGTCCAACGTGGGAGAGCTCTTATGTGCTCTTTTTATAAAACAACTTGATCACTTACTTTCAAAGTAGATAACTTTCCATTAACAAAAATCTGGTTTCGAAATATGTTTCATTGATTTATGCAACACGTATCGCTTGATGGTTTCATGTGTAGGTTAAACAAATTCATGAAGGATATGTGACTCATTTTATATTGAAGCTGCCTAATGTAGGCTATTCTGCTTTCTGCAGTTGACAATATTTTTTAATTCGTAGATTTTTCTCTAATACATACTAGGTACAACTTCCTTTCACGACGCAATGTAAAATTCAACTTCCTACGATGATACAGCTTCGACCCACAAAACATAACAGGATACAGCTTTCTTCACCGATTCACCCACATCTTACTCCCAAGAAACAGTCCAGATTAAATGTCCCATCAACGACACAGAATTATTTCCACACAAATTTCCAGAGAATAACCACAGAACGACAGACCAGAAGAGCCACAGGAGGTGACCATAGGTGGAGACCAGAAGAGCCACAGGAGGTGACCATAGGTGGAGACCAGAAGAGCCACAGGAGGTGACCATAGGTGGAGACCAGAAGAGCCACAGTGATTTAAAACAAATACTCCCATGGCGTAAAGGCAGCAGTGAGTGGGAATTAAGTAGCCTTAACGGTAGGTAGTAGAAGCCACCTCCATCCACAATGTACCGAAATTGGTGGTGGGCCTCGGGAACTCAAGCTCAAAATACTTCTGGCACAGATATATGAGTACAAATAGGCGAGTACTATGAGAATTTATACAATAAACTATTAATAAACGCGCGTGCCGGCAGATATCAAGATTAGCGAGTACTTCTATTTACATTATTGCCAGAAAGGCCTCTAATATACATAATTATAAGAGCATGCATAAGATAACGAGAGAAAAGATGGAAGAAAGGAAGAGAAGGAACAGAATTGGGTGGAAAGACAAGGGAATATAAATGAGAAGGATATGACAGGGTAATGGGCTTGAAAGAGGAAATAATATGATAAAGGAGAGAGTGAGACTAAGAAGAGAGGGAAGAGCGATTATGGGGGAGATGAAAGGGATAAAGTAGAGTACTGAGAAAAGAGATGAGAACAAAGAGGAGACAGGAGGGAGAGAATAACGGCGGGAGTGGCGAGGGAGGAATAACGGGGAAGTGAGGTGATGACATGTTTTAACAAGGTTATTAGAGACTGAGGAGCGTAAGTGGTGTACTTGCCCGTGTGTGTGTGTGTGTGTGTGTGTGTGTGTGTGTGTGTGTGTGTGTGTGTGTGTGTGTGTGTGTGTGTGTGTGCGCGCGTGTGTGTGTGTGTGTGTGTGTGTGTGTGTGTGTACTCACCTAGTTGTGTCTGCAGGATCGAGCATTGACTCTTGGATCCCGCCTTTCGAGCATCGATTGTTTACAGCAATGACTCCGGTCCTATTTCCCTTTCATACCTGGTTTTAAAATTATGAATAGTATTTGCTTCTACAACCTGATCCTTAAGTGCATTTCATTTTCCCACTACTCTCACGCTAAAAGAAAATTTCCTAACATCCCTGTGACTCATCTGAGTTTCCAGCTTCCACCTATGTCCCCTCGTTCTGTTACTATTCTGTGTGAACATTTCGTCTATGTCCACTCTGTCAATCCCCCCTGAGTATTTTTTACGTTCCAATCATGTCCCCCCCTTCTTCCTTCTTCTTTCTAGTGTCGTAAGGCACTTACGACACTCAGCCCAATCATTCAGTCTGTCTAGGTCATACCTAGACAGACGGAATGATTGGGTGCCTTAAAACCAGTTGCTTCGGGCAGATGGGACTTGTCAGCCTGGGAAAGCAGCTCATCAAGGGTAAGGAAAACCCCGAATTCAAACCACTGCTGTCTTGCGGCTAAACCCACTCATGGGAAGGGCTTCGGGAGTCAACCCCGAGGAAACATCCGGTGTCGGAGTCACTAAGGCGCTTTGCAGCTGTTTACAGCTTCTTGAGGTTATCTTGAGATGATTTCGGGGCTCTTTAGTGTCCCCGCGGCCCGGTTCTCGACCAGTCCTCCACCCCCAGGAAGCAGCCCGTGACAGCTGACTAACTCCCAGGTACCTATTTGCTGCTAGGTAACAGGGGCATTCAGGGTGAAAGAAACTTTGCCCATTTGTTTCTGCCTCGTGCGGGAATCGAACCCGCGCCACAGAATTACGAGTCCTGCGCGCTATCCACCAGGCTACAAGGCCCCAAACTACATTCTGTCAACTCCTGCGACGACACTGGTGCCAAGCGTATCGGCGCCTGCCCTTTCCTTGGACCACATCGGTGGCGTGGAGGGCGTGGATCTGCTGCATGGGCAACAGCCGGTTCTCTATTATTACTGCCCAGGCCTGTGCCCTGGAGAGGACAGTCCAGCATCGCCTTGGCGATGGCTCATCACGGGAAGCGACAGTTACAGGTGATAAGCCTACCATTCAATTGGCGAAAAGTGAGGCGCCAGGGGTTGCTTCCGTCGGTGGGAGAAATCATCCGCTTTCATAGGACAGCTACCGCTCGCCTCAAGCTGGGCAGCCCCCAGCCTGTAAGGTGCTGTCCCGCCACGGTCCGCCTGCTCCACTGGGTGAGTGGGGCTGAGGCCGCAATCCAATAAGCGGATCGTCAACTATACACGAGACAAAAGAAAACAAACACAGAGCCACCCAGCTCTCAAACTGGGCACATGGAATGTAAGGACCATGACACCGGCTCTCTCGGAAGATCTACTGGAAGTGAACGACGCCCGCAAGACAGCTGTGATCAACAGTGAATTACAACAGTGGCTCCAGATAGACATAATCGCCCTGCAGGAGACACGTCTGCACTTGACCGACAGCATATGGGAGAAGGACTTTACTTTCTTCTAGCAGGGCAAACCACCAGAAGAGGTAAGGGAGCACGGCATTGGCTTCACCGTCAGGAACAGGTTGTTAGGGTCCATAGTACCGACCACGGAGGGGTCTGCAAGGATCATCAAACTTCAGTTTCATAAAGCAGCAGGATTGGTCAGCCTCATCAATGCCTATGCACCAACACTGACCTCCTCTACCAAAGCGAAGGACAAGTCCTATGATGACCTCGGCCTAACTCTTAGAGACATACCTCCACAAGAGCCAGGCTTCCTCCTGGGAGACTTACAGGCAAGAGTTGGTTCCGATCACAGCTCTTGGCCTTCCTACCTGGGCAAGTTTGGATTTGGGAAGATGAAAGAAAACGGGCAGCGCCTCCTGGAGTTTTGCTGTCATGATCTCTGCGTCACTAATTCCTTCTCTGACACTAAACCCCAGCACAAGGTTTCCTGGAGACACCCCAAGCCTAAGCATTGGCACCAACTCTACCAATGGCACCAACTTACGAGGCGTAGCAATCTGAGGAGCGTCAAACTGACCCGCAGCTTCCAGAGCGCAGATTGTGACACCGACCACTCTCTCGTCGTTTGCAGAGTAAAGTTCCAGCCCCGGAAAATCCACAGAGCAAAGAAGGAGGGAAGACCATGCCTTAACGTAAACAAGTGGAGGGATTCACTGGTGTGCTGGCAAATGCCCTTCTTGGACCACCCTGTGATAGCGCAAGTGGGAGGTGGTCACACCTCAGGGGCACTATTTTCAACACTGCCATGTCCACCTTTGGTAAGAGGCAGAACAAGTCAGCAGATTGGTTTGAGGCCAGTGCAGAGGAACTGTTACCCCTTGTAGAGGAGAAGAGTCAAGTTCTCTCATCCTTCAAGAACCTGCCCTGAGAAAGGAACCTACAGGCCCTCCGTACTGCCTGCAGTAGAGTTCAACAAGCTGCAAGGCGCTATGTTAATGATTACTGGCTCCGACTCTGTGCCAGCATCCAGATTGCGGCCACTGTCGGCAACATAAGAGGCATGTACGAAGGGATCAAACAGGCAACAGGCCCTACGCAAAACGGGACAGCTCCTCTGAAGTCAGCCACTGGAGATATCATTAAAGACCATGATCAACATTACTCCGAACTCTCCTCCAGAATGAATATGGTCAGCGTAGAGGCCTGGGATGCAATCGAGTGCTTGCCCATCATGGAAGAACTTGTCCTTGAACTGACTGGAATAAATTGAGAAGCACTGGATTCACTTTCCCCAGGGAAGGCCCCAGGAGACGAAGGGATTCCGCCGGAAGTTCTCAAGTGCGCTCGTGGAACACTTAAAACTGAGCTTCATGAACATCTGCGCCAGTGTTGGAGGGATGTCTCGGTGCCACAAGACTTGAGAGATGCAAACATCATCATTCTCCACAAAAATAAAAGTGACAAAAGCGATTACAACAACTATCGCGGAATCTCCCTCCTCAGCGTCGTCGGGAAACGCTTCGTCAGGGTCGTCTTGGCCAAACTTCAGATTCTTGCTGAAAGAGTGTACCCTGAGTCACAGTGTGGTTTCAGAGCCGAGAGGTCGACCACTGACATGGTGTTCTCCCTGAGACAGCTTCAAGAAAAGTGCAGGAAGTAGAGAAAAGCCCTGTACATCGCCTACATTGACCTTACAAAGGCCTTCGACCTCGTGAGTAGGGACGGACTATTCAAGATCTTGGCCAGAATTGGCTGCCCTCCCACCCTACTCAGCATGATACAATCGTTCTTCGAGGACATGGAGGGAAAGGTCGTGTACGACGGCTCAACTTCTGAACCATTCAACATGAACAGTAATGTTAAACTGGGATGCGTTCTTGCTCCAACACGGTTCGGCATCTTCACGATCCTCGTCAAGTATGCCTTTGGAACAACCACAGAGGGCATCTATCTCCGTACAAGATCTGATGGCAAGCTCTTCAATCTATCTAGACTCTTCGCCACAATGCTATATGGTCGTAATATCTTGGTGCTTTCTCCTGATAGTTCCCTTCCCTTCCTCTTCGCCGACGACGCATCAATCACCACACACACAGCAGAAGGCCTGCAGCAGCTACTCAACCGCTTTGCCACAGCCTGTTCTGCATTCGGCCTGACAATC